TTTTTTTTTTTGTTTATCTCATGATAGACTGTATTGGAAACTCATGTTCGAAAAGTCATTGTGCACTAATTCGATGAAATCTCTATTGTTGGTTTAGAATACTTTAGAGTTCCGAAAATATGAAAATTAGGCCATTAATCAAGATTATTACAAAGATAAGTAAAAATTATTGAAGACAGTGTATCTTATCTCTCTCCACTAAGAGCATTTCCCAATGAGATTCTCTTGAATGGATATCTCAATCAAAAAAATTATAAATTAATAGAAAGTAAGAGAAAAAAATGAGAATGGGGTTCTCAAATGAAAAACCCACCTACTTTTTAGAGATATTCATTTACTATTTGTCTTTGTTTGATTGGTCAATAGTTTTTTGATATATCTAAAAATTAAATAATTAAAGAAAATGATTAGAATAATATATTTGAGATACTCATAGAGTATCTTAGAGTATCTCCATCTAAAGTTTTTAGAGAGATTTTCAAAAAAATTATATAAAACAAAATATAAATAAAATATGAAAAAGGGTTCTCAAAAGAGGAGAGTGAGGTTTTCAAATAAGATACTTTAGACATCTTTTCTCTTCTTTTGAAAATCCCTCTAATATTTCAAGCTCTTCAGTCTTGTCTTCTACCTATTTTAAATTTTCTGACATTTTCTAATTTTTTTTTTAAAGTTTATCTTATGATCATTATTTTATTCAAACGGCTATGATAAAGTTTGGTCATCAAAATTACCAATTTGGAGATTAAATTTCTTTAAAAAATAACTAGAACTATCTACAAATAATCTAACATTTCTCAAAAAAATTTGGAAATACCTGTAGTTCTCATCTCAAACTTGATCTTTACATAGAATTAGTAAGAGCTTGAAAAATTATCTTTACTTCCCGAATATTCCGAACCTATCATCATTATCTGTATTTCTCGTCTCGTTTCTTTGACACAAAACATTGAGTAATACTTTTCTCAAATTATTAGTTCCCAATCATTTACTGCTATTCCCCGTCATGTCCCGTCTCAATGCGTGAAATAAACCCTCCCCCAAAAGTATTGGACTTGTATAGAAAGGGAATTGCATTTATGCGTATGTTCTACTTTGTAATGTTTATCAAATAAGTAATTCATGATAGAGGTTCTCAAAAGAGGAGAGATGGGTTCTCAAATGAGATACTTTAGACATCCTCTCTCCTCTTTTGAGAACCCTTATAATATTTAACTATTATTTTGAGAACTTCGCTGATACTTTAGAACCCTTTGATGGATGTGGTCTTAGCATTGAAGATGCTCTAATACTTTGTTTCAACTTCCTAATATATTAATATACTTGAATGGTATTACTACTTCTAGATGGAAAATCTGTCTTGTCTTGTACCTATTTTAAATTTTCTGGCATTTTCTAATTTTTTCTTTTAAAGTTTATCTATTTAGGGTCGTTTATTTTATTCAAATGGCTATGATAAAGTTTGGTCATCAAAATTACCAATTTGGAGATTAAATTTCTTTAAAAAATAACTAGAACTATTTACAAATAATCTAACATTTCTCAAAAATTTTGGAAATACTTGTAGTTCTCGTCTCAAACTTGATCTTTACATAGAATTAGTAAGAGTTTGAAAAATTATCTTTACTATCCGAATTTCCCGTACCTATTCATCGTTATCTGTATTATTCGTCTCGTTTCTTTGACACAAAACGTTGAGTAATACTTTTCTCGAATTTTTAGTTCCCAATCCTTTACTGATGTTCACTGTCCTGTCCCGTCTCAATGCGCGAAATAA